AAACAATAATCTGACAACAGTTAAGGCTGAGGCCGATGTTTAGTACAAGTAAGAAAGGTTTTGAGAATTTGCTTTATAGATTATAAACAATAATCTGACAACAGTTAAGGCTGAGGCCGATGTTTAGTACAAGTAAGAAAGGTTTTGAGAATTTGCTTTATAGATTATAAACAATAATCTGACAACAGTTAAGGCTGAGGCCGATGTTTAGTACAAGTAAGAAAGGTTTTGAGAATTTTTGAGAAAAATCTGTAACAAACTCCCAATTATGTGAATAAAAGTGCAAGGATTTGTTGATTTTTGCATGAATTTCCACAATAATTTTCAAGAAATTGGAGGAACTGGTTGATGTAATGTGGAAGTAAACAGATAAAAATTAAGTTTATTTGGTTGATAACATAATTTTTAACCATATATAGGCTAAAACAGAGAGAGGATCTCAATGCAAACACCAAAGTCTTTAATTAGCCTATTGGAGTTATGGTTCAATAACACATTTTGCTATTGGTCTAAATATTCAGCAGGTTCAAGCTCCAGGGAGTGGCTCCTTAATGTGAACATGTTGATTCTTACAGAGTTTCCTGCATCCTCACAAAATGTAGCTGGATATTTTTGAGACTTGGCACATAAACAAGCCAGTTATAAGTTGTTTGCTGTAGATATTTGGTAAGCTGAAGTAATATAATAAAACCCTTTTTAGGTACATTCAAGAGAAACATATTGCATTGTTTTGCATCTAAACATTTGACTGCTTTTACAGATGGAAATTGATTAATTCATGGTTTATACAGCAAGATAAAAATCATAAATATGAACACACTAATGAGATGCCCATTGAATGCATTGCCAAGAATCCCTCAGAACTGGAAGCCAGTTATAAAAAAAGAAAGAAAATCTTCTCCTGAAATGAAAGTTGAAAGAAATGTTCTCAGAATTTGTACAAACCAAAGCTTTGTACAAATTCAGATTTTTTTTTTCCTTGATAATGTCAGATTAAAAGGTCAAGTAAATTTATCTACTTATACTTAATTAGACATGAACAAATCAATGCACTTTTCTTTTATGACCTATTTATTAATTGGTGGTTTAAAAAAAAGAGATTTTCCTAATATGAGATTTTTTCCCCCCTCTACATAATAAGTATTCACAATTAATTGGATTGAATCTTTCTAAACTTTTTCAACTGTAGTAAAATTAGATTTTTCCAGGGTATTTATACATTTTACCAGGAACTTCCTGATTCTAGTGTGTCTAAATTATTCTGTATTTTCTACCACAAAATGTCTATGTTGCACTTACTAAAAGGGTGGTGCAAATGACAGACTTGCATGTGTTGTTGCAGCTGTTGACAGTGGTGTTGGAGCTTGAGCGTCAGGCCCCCAACATCCTGGTGCTGGGGAGGAAACACATGTTGAGGCCCTCCAAATCCTGGGACAGACGCAACATGAACCTCATCCAGCAGAAAGTGCATTGCTTCTTTACTGAAAACATGTGAGGATCTCAGAATGACAAAGTACCACTTCCTAAAGTTAACACGCCAGGCAGATGGAGGTGGTGTAAATGGCATCAGTGGATGGAAGCGACTAAATATTAATTTTGTACCTCACACCTTCCACACTCCCTCTTAGATCCGAGGACGACCCGTTCCTGCTGTATGCCACTTTGCATTCTGGGAATCATTGTCTGTTCGTGAGCAGGGACCTGATGAGGGACCACAAGGCCTGCCTGCCAGATGACGTAACTAGGCGGCTCTTCTTCAAGTGGCAGAGGGGTCATCAGCTGGTGATGGCTGGGAATGTCGCAGCTGGCAGGAGGGTGAAATTTCTGGTGAGTGGATGGTTGGTTACGACCTCTTGTAAGGTCAGGGCTGTAAAGAGTAAACATTAGCTTGACATTGTACCATCTGTATATATAAGTAACGAAGAGAGGCTATGTTGTAACTTGTTTTCTTCATGTGTGAACTCTCTCCGAGGCACAGACTGACTCCATCTTTCTGCTTTATTAGAGTATTCCCCGCTTTGACACCATTGTCCAGACTACAGGAGATACCTGGCATCTTCCCTATGATGACACCGGGGACAGAAGCACATATGAAGTGCCACAACTGTGGCTGTGTCTCACCAAAAAACACTGAATAATTTTTTTAAAGATATGTAAAAAAAAAAAAAAAAAAGTTTTAATCTGTAGTCTTGTGAATAAAACTCTTAAATCTTGTAAAGTTTCGGTACATTTTATTATAAAACTTTAGCGTCACTGAAATAATAACGATAAAGAAGATGGAGCGATTTTTTTTCTACCACAAACTATCATATTTGGAAGTCATATGACTTCCAAATATGATAGTTTGTAACCAGAGAGACATAAAATCTAAATATATGAACTTTAGGACATGGTGATAAGGGAACAATATGATTGTAAAAATGTATTTCTTATATTGAAGGTTAACAAAAGCAAACCGTTTTCCTCAAGAGCTGTATTGTTGATGGAAAAAAATTAAATTGCTTTAAGTCTAAAGATTAATTGGCAACTTATCCAAGGAGTCTCAGAAGTAAAGCTTTTTAGTCATGTTGGATTCCTATCAAATTTTACAATCATACCTGGAGACTTTGCCCAAATATACAACAAATATCTTTTGAGAATTTAACTGCGATTAACTTTGAACAATTTATTGAATCTCAAACTAAATTTAAAATGTTTCACATCGGGTCTTTGGATCTTTACGTAACTTTGTGTTTGCACGAAGAGCAGTAACACGTATATCATCCATTGGTTAATGATGAACTCGGAGATCTTTTTATTTTAATACAAAAACACATTTTGTCTGTAACCGTTGTAGTTTTTAGCTTAACGTTCTAAGACGTAAATTCCAAAAAGAACTACAAGCGTTGACCCGGATGGGGAAATCTTTCTCCAGTCACTTCCGGTTCAGAAATTCTTTCCATGTTTTTGTTTCTCCTGCCTGCCATTCTGGTTTCAGTTTAATCCACTTTCTCTTTTTATTTAGCCTCACTGATTACCGCCATGTCTCGGGGGTCCAGTGCGGGGTTCGACCGGCACATCACCATCTTTTCCCCGGAAGGAAGGCTTTACCAAGTCGGTGAGCAAAGAGAGGAAGAAAGCTGCTCAGTCATCACTGCTAACAGCCTGTTAGCATCTGCTCAACCACAAGACAGAGATTCTTCACAGGGATTAATAGTGTATTTCATTTAGTATATTGTTGTCGTGTGATTCAGTTGAGAACTATAACTGCTGTATATTTTTTAGCTGATATTTATTTGGTACAACAATAACATTGCCTGCCTCCCAAACTGTAATTTTCGCCTAAATAAATCTAAATAGCGTAGAGTGGTCTGTTATGAGTCAACTGAATACAGTTTCAGATCTTGAGTTACAATTCAGCGGGCTGTAAATAAAAGTCCCACATAAACAGTAATAGGATTTTCTTTTTCTACTTTTTTGACATCTTAATAATAATAATAATAATAATAATAATAATAATAAAACCCCTTTCAACTGTAAAAGACTGTAACTTCTGTTTTTCTCTATTAATCCTTCTGTAGAGTATGCATTTAAAGCCATCAACCAGGGAGGAATGACCTCTGTGGGGATCAGAGGGAAGGACTGCGCTGTGGTCGTCACCCAGAAGAAAGTTCCAGTCAGTATAAACACACAGATGTTCGTCTGTGGAAGCTGCTGGTCGAGTGTGGGTTTTTAATTTAGTTTTTTCTCTGAGCAACATATTTCCTCTTATGTTTGTCAGGACAAGCTGTTGGACGCCTCCACCGTCACTCAGCTGTTCAGAATCACAGACAACATTGGCTGCGTCATGACCGGCATGACTGGTAAGCAAGTGAAGGACCAACAGTGCTGTGGAAAAAGCAAATATGGCTATTTGTTGTTTTCTTGTAATAACAACTTTCTTCCTCCAGCTTTTGGATTACATGACTAACAGTTGACCAGTCAATAGTATGTCCCACCTAAACTGTGGATCTCTTTGTGAAAACGTATGTGTAGAATGTATTTCTGGGGTCAACCTGTGTGCGTCCTCTGACAGCTGACAGCAGGTCTCAGGTGCAGAGAGCACGCTACGAAGCTGCTAACTGGAACTACAAGTACGGCTATGAGATCCCAGTGGACATGTTGTGCAAACGCATGGCCGATATCTCCCAAGTCTACACACAAAATGCTGAAATGAGGCCGCTCGGCTGCTGTGAGTAATTATGCATGTGTCCACCAGAGTCTTTTTGGGATTTTATCTTTTCGAAACCTGTAGATCTGATGTTGCAAAGCCGACTGTGGACCCGGATCAGTTAGATGTTCTAATCCAGTGTCCTTGCTGCAGGTATGGTCGTGATCGGCATGGACGAGGAGTTGGGCCCTCAGCTATATAAATGCGATCCAGCCGGCTACTATTGTGGCTTCAAGGCCACTGCAGCTGGGGTCAAGCAGACCGAAGCCACCGGTTTCCTCGAGAAGAAGGTCAAAAAGAAACTGGACTGGACCTTTGAGCAGACAATAGAGGTAGACACAGATACACATGCAGCGTACGGTACAGATGCAGCATGCACATACAAAAGAAGCAGCTCTTTTAGTATAAATCACTGCTGATGCATCAGGTTTTTATTGCACTGACTTTTACATTTCATGCAAGCACATTATCCAAAAAACATTTACTGAATTATGAAAGGTTGCTGTGAGGAAGAGGAGCATAAAGCAGAGCTTGTGGACTATCGAGAGCTTTGCTTTTTAAATCCGATCCCACTACACCGACACAGTTAAACTTCTAAACTTTAAATATGAGCTGTACTCATTCTGGAACCTTTAAATTTCCAGAGTAAAATGCCCTCCTTGGTTTAGAGCCTCATTCATGTGCAAGTAAAGCCTATCACTGACTTAAGAGTTTCAGAAATAAACCATATTTTTTATTTTCATACCATAAGAATATGGTAGGAAAAATACTGCATTATGAGTCTCGTTTAGAGCTACATCTCTTTTAAAAATTGCATTTTTGCTTTTAATCTTTTTCTCTAAAACTTCAACATTTGTCCTTTCCAGACGGCCATTTCTTGCCTCTCCACTGTTCTTTCCATCGACTTCAAGCCATCGGAGCTGGAGGTGGGAGTCATCACGACACAGGAGCCTAAATTTAAGTGAGTAAATCCCAGAGATAAATTTTAAAACATGTTGTAGTCCAGCTCCTTCTGTAAACGGTTTTACTTGTCCGACTAAAAGCTGCATCCATAAAATTGAATTTTTGTATTTCAGGATTCTGTCGGAGTCTGAGATTGATGCGTATCTTGTTGCTCTGTCCGAGAGAGAGTGAGGATCGATGGGAAAACCCGGAAGTCTCAGCTAGAAGGAAAAATAAGAGGAGCTTCATTTGTCACAATCCAGGGAGATTTACAACACAGGGAGGTCAAATCTGGACATTTTACTGCAGATGCACTGCCTTTTACCAGCCTCTGTTCTTCCAAGTCATAATTCAACCCACAAAAAACCCCCTCCATCGCCCCACCTACATTCTCACTTTTTGAAAAGATTCTGGACTTTCAGATCGGTGCTCCCAATGGCATAAAAGTACAACACACTCATCAGTTTCGTTGTTTGACATGAGTGTAGCTCTGCAGCTGCAGAGGGGTACCTCTCGGTTACGATGGTTTAATTTTTACTCAGGATGTTCTTCACTTGCGATCTCTGGAGTTTCGTGTTCACGCTCCGGGAGCAGCTGTGGGAGTTTTCCCGTCACTACAATCATCCCCAAACGCCGTCGAACTCTGCTCAGGACAACAACAATTAACTCAATGTTCAATTCTCTCCTCTCAGCTGCGATCTTCAGCTGTATGCCGCTGCACTTCTATTAAATAAGGTGTTTTTATTTAACTCCAACGTCTCTACGTTTACTCATTTATATTTCAGCTGAAATTCAGAAAGTCTTACAGGAAACGTGCAGCTTGTTTGACTCGGTTTCATAACAGACCAGATGATCTGAAATGGACCGTACACTCATTTAAAGCTGTGTCTACTAATGAGTCTGCATAAAACATTTTCATAATGGATACACTTGCCCGATTTACCGTCACCATTTTGAGCTTTTGCAGCTAAATCAGTCATTTAAAATAAACGGCAAGTTAGAAGGTTTTAACTCAACCAGTTTACAAATCAGCTAATATATTAGCCTAAATGAGGTCACATGAGGTAGGCCTGTCACTATAGCAAATTTGTTAAATTGTTGGGATAAATAATGTAATAATAATAATGACTCCCAGCTACATTTTTTTTTAAGACTGGATCTGGAAAGCATCTTAACTATCCAAAATAAACAAAACAACCAGAATAACAATAATTAAAATGGATTATGAAGTCGCTGTAACTGCATTTGAAAAACTGATCATTCAGCTTAGACAGGGAAAACAGGCAAAAGTGGCAGGCAGTGCAAACTAACTACTTTAAACAAGGTGTCAAATGTTTGCAGCGTTTCTCAAAATGGCGGCTTTTCAACAATATTAAAACGGAGCAGGTCTTTAACGGCCGTTGTCCAAATGGCAATGATTGCGCTCTTTTTAATTTATTACGCACTTAATTGATTTGGTCCTTAATGTGGCAGGCTTAGTCACATACAGCTGTGGTGAAAAGTAAGGACACTGCAGTCATTCAGTCGACCACAAACATGGTAGCAAATCTACAACATAATGGCTGAAAAGACAAACTTAAAAATAGTTGTGCATAAATGTCTGCAAACCAAATGAAGTGAACGTTTCTCACAATGACCTGAGATTAAATATAAAGTCTAGAGATAGTCCCACAAGCTTTTGATCTTAGCTGTTTCATGTATAAACAGCCAGAGAAGAGCATTTTAATTATTCCATAATATAACCTAGTAGTTTAATTTTTAATTATTAATAATCTTGGTCGCCGTTTAAACAGGAATGTAACGAACAGCTGAAGCGTTTAGTTCCTGGGAATTTCCTCTCAAGTCTCCCGTAGCCACACCTGCAGATAAACTTCCTTATTCAAATGACAGAGCAGTTCACTTCCTTCCACAAGCAGAGACAAAAAATTTTCCAAAACCTCTTATCTGTTTTTTTTTTTGTTTTGTTTTTTTAAATACATGCATGGACAGTCAAAGCCCGACTTCCACTTCCTCATTCGTTGGAAGTGAGCTGTCGAGCAATCCGGTTTTTCCTTTTAAATATGAAAATACAGGCTGGCTGATGAGAAATGACTCGGCTCGGCTGTCAAGCTCTGATGGAGGCATTAGGATGATCAGACCTTTAGATGGCGGGAAGAGGACACATGGGTAATTTCCTGCATAATTACAGCCTCGTAGTTTTGTCAGGCGCTGCTGATTACATGTTGCCTTTTGAGACTTTTAACGTTTTTAGAGTTTTACGCATTTCTCACGGTTTTTCTGGGGAACAATTAAAATGTTTCAACGGCTTTAAGTAGCAAATATGTGGAATTTTTTATCAGGAGACGTTTCTACTGTAGGTTCTAACAACTCTTGGACCAAATCCTGACTTATTTTGACCCTTTCTTGACATTTTAGCGTTTGGAGTTGATCACAATTTGTCAGTTTCTGTTCATCCGATGACTCTTGAGGATCTGACCACAGATTTTCTTTGGGATCAAGGGGAGTTTCCAAAGAGTTCAAAAGTTAAAAGTTCTGATCCTTGTGACGCAGATCTCCCTCAGGCTGGAAAATACCCAGATCATCATCAGCAAGCTTTTCCTGGTTTGCTAGAAGAAGTTATTCTTGGAGGACATTTTGATCCTGCTTATTAATAGCAGCGGTCAAAGCCTCGACTTCCTCTGATGAGAAGAGACTAAATGTGGGAAGTTCTGACTTGTGGAACCTTTCAGCATTAATCTGAAAAAAATAACCTTTAACCTCCGTCTACTGCTGTCCATCCTGCACAATTTTAGCCTGTCCTTGTCAAAGTCATACAACGTTGTTTTGTTGCAAACCAGTGTTTTGCCCGAAGGTACCCATTAAACACAACATAATATTAAGCACATCTGTTGCTCTTTTAGAGTTTAATTAAATTCAGCTGGGTTGTTTTCCAGCATCACCTGTACTGATGCAACTACAACAAAATTAAATTAGCTCATAATTTTGAGCAAAAAGTATCAAAACTTGGTTTCTCAGATGGTAACTTGATCAAGATGCATCAATATAAAAAGAAATTTGACTTTTTTTTCCCCCACATCTTTGACTTTAAATTAAGTCCTTTGCTGCTTCAGGTTAAATTAACAGTCATAGTTGCAGTCCGAATAACAACTGTGACTGTAATTTATGGCTCTTAGTAATTAATTAGTTCTGATCCCTGCATAATAAGAGTAAAGGACTCCTTTTGTCTAAGCTTCATTAGAGAGAAGGGAACAGCAAGACTCGATCGGGAATACTTAGAAAAACCATAAGCAACATTTACTCTCCATTTCCCACAAATCAAGTCACGGAGCAGGTCTGAGGTGTTAAATATGAGTGTTTTAATTTAACTGGAGTGCGCTGGAACTGTTTGCCATCTCACATATACAACCTGCTAAACTGTACACATTCACAGCTTCCATAAAAAATACATCTTCATATACACAGCATTTACAGTATCATACAACAGAGCTGGAACAGGGTCTTCAGGGGATCCTCTCACACAGCAGTCCCGTTACAAAGTGTGCATTTCGCTCTCCTGCAGCGGCCAGTGTCTCGTTTTATGTCAGGAGATGCGAGCCCGGCCCGGTTCGGCAGCAGCCGCGTCGCCCTCGCTGCCGTCTTCCCAGCATGATGTTACAAATAAATCAGACATGTGCCGAGCCGTGCCGCCTTCATTCTTATCGTAATCATCTTGGGCCGTTTTGCAACTTCCTTGTTCTTTTTCTTTTCTGCTAATGTCCATTCAACTGAATGTCATCGTACATTCCCTGCAGACACACATGACGGGGGAGGAGGGGGGGGAGAAATATGGATTACCCAACTAGTCAGATTTTTGACACTTCATTCAGTCAGTCACTCTACAGCAAGTGCGATTTCAACACACCTCTTCGTCCGACTCCTCCTCCGACGACTCCTCTCCGCTGTTTTCTGATTCGGAGAGGTCCCTCAGGTCCGGATGGGTCACCGGGAACAGCTCTTTCTGGATGTCGCAGTTGTCCAAACCGTAGGTGAGGTGGAAGGGAGTGTGTCCCCCGGACGACAGGAGGTTGGGGTCTGCTCCTTTCCGCAGGAGGAGTTTGACCAGAGCGAGGTTCTGCTGGTCAACGGCAAGATGCAGCGAGCTGCGGCCGTTGTGCTGCTCCTGTGCAACAGGGACGTCGCGTTAAAACCAAAACATTCTCCACGTCGGCCCAGATTCTGCGTCTGGATGAATTTGCTTACTTTGGCGTTGATATCCGCTCCGAGGTCCACCATTTTCTCCACCAGCGAGAGGAAACCGTGAACCGAAGCCAGGTGGAGGCAGTTCTGACCTGCACAAAACAGAAGAGGCGTCGATTAGAACCGACTCCTTGCCCAACAGCGTCCGCCGTGCCGACGACGGCGTGCCTCAACGCAAGTCTCACCGTTATAGTTGCAGGCGGCCATCGCCGTGTGCAGGTGCTCCAACCTGCAGTTCTGTGTGATGACGCTGAAGCAGTACAGGTTACCGTGGCGACAGGCGATGTGAAGAGGCGTGTCGCCGCTGTTGTCCACCAGCGTGGGGTCGCAGCCGGACGCGAGGAGACTGGAGCACACGTTCGGCTGGTTTGTTATTACTGCTAAGTGGAGAGGAGTCTGTGGGTGGGGAGGCAAAGCATTTATGTTACACTTTTGCTCAGAGCAAATAAAACGTTAACAGAGGAGAGGGGAAGATCACACACCTGTCTCAGGTCATTCTGTGCATTGAGGAAAGGTGTGTTCTTTGAAAGGTCAATCATTTGTTTGATGTAGTCCTTTGCTTCGTGGATGATGGCCAGGTGGAGCAGCCTGCCGAGAAAAAGGTAGGGAAAAAAAAAAACCTGTTAGACAACAAAAATAGAAAAAGGGACAAATTCTTCAACCGAGACTCTGATTCACTGCCCCGAAAAGCACGTATGCACACAACTCCACCTGCATCAACAGGTTTATTTTGTATTACTCCCAGTTCATGTTTCAAGTAGTTGTATTTTTTGGATACAAACAAACAGTTTTTTCATCGTATATAAAATAAGTGGGACGAGCAGCCAGAGGCATCTTCAGATGCAAATTGTTTAAAAACTGAATGGTGGGTAACATATTGAAGATCTTTTTTTTTTTAGTTTTGAAAAGCAGTTTTAAAAATATACACTCAATATTTTGCAGGAGTGAAAATGCTAGAATAGTTAAACTAA